AATCCAGCTCCACAATCCAGGGTGAACAAACACAAATGATCCCAATGGTCCCACAAATCCAGCTCCACAATCCAGCAGGAACAAACACTGCAGCCTCTGTCCCAGAGGGAAGGGCTCTGCCAGGGACAGAGCGGATCTTGAACATGATTTAGGAGCAGAGACATGATTACCCAGGCTTTATTTCCAAATAACTGCTCCAATCCAACCCAGGCCCTTTTCCAGGCTGGGGCAGCTCACCAGCGTTCCACTACCAAATCCTGTAGAAGTGGGTATTACACATCAAAACAGAAAACTGAGGGCAGAGCTGGGTAAGGAGAGGCCCATGAAATGAAGTTATTTAATAGCAGAGAACATATTTGAAACTATAAGAAGAAATATCTCCCCCCCAAAAAAACCCTTTCCAGTGCAATTCTTTGCACACTACCAAAACACACAGAAAGAACAAACACATCATACACACATTCAAAAGAAAAAAATCAACCAACCCAAGCCCCTGCAGATTCAGAAAGCCAGTTTCCTCTTAATTGCTAGGACAGGTTTGCATTCCTACCACACGTTGAAGTCTTGAAGAACCTGAGGCTATAAAGCAAGTCATTGTTCAAGGATGATTTAAAGTCAGAAAATTGAGATCTGAGAGTGCTCAAAATACCTCAGCTGATGTGTAAACACCAGAAAAAGAAGAAAATTCCAGTGGACTCCAAAAGAATCACTTCAGAAATGCAGTTCTCTGGACTGCCACAGTCACAGACCAACAACAAACATTCTCTCCACAATAACATGCATGAGGAGATTTGCCTTCTCACTAAATGCAGCAACTTATCACTTTCTGTTTTAACTTCTGGGCACAGTAAAGAGCAAATATTTGTAAAAAGGGATTGGAAATGGTGATAGGAATCAGCTTCCAGAAGGCATACGTGGATTCTCCCCAAAAGGAAGCAGAATCTTACTGATGAACCGTAATGAAACACTCCCCAAACCTTCAACTTCATACCCTGTACTTCTGAAGATGCTCAAGAGACAATAACAAAAGTGCAGTTAGAAAGCTACTTTGATCAGATACAACCCACACAATTTGAAGGAAGCAACAATCGTGTGCAGCCTCCTGCTGTACAAACAAAACATAAGAACTGTAGTTCAAAAAGACTTCACAAGTTAGAAAACAATAAGAGAAAAATGCTTGGACAAGGGAGGAAATGCTCAGGTCAAATGGTGTAAGTCAAGTTAGTATAAATCAGGACTGTTCACTGAAATATTTCTTTTTTTTTCCCATGTGGTGTTTCCCACACAACCTACAGCTGAAAACACAGATACACAACACAGCTACTTTCAGAAGCCCAGAGTGAGAAGACACCAAAGTAGTAAAATATTGCCTAAGGACACTGATAAGACCAGTATTCCAGCACACTCAGGTTTAAAGAACTCCCAAGAGGCAGCATTAATTTTTATTTTTTACTTAGCCCTAGTATTTGCACTGTATATTTATTAAAGGTCAGGGACATTTGACACTGCAAACTCCTTTCCAATGGGACTACCAACATTTCAAAACAATTTTCTACTGTTCTTACTAGATGCCAGCAGATTAAAGTGCTTTTGATGAACCTCCACAAGGTTGGCAGGCCTTGCTGAGAGCTTATTTAGAAACTTTTATTTCAAAAGCAGTCATTTTCAAACTTTGGGGTGTTCTGCTGCAGAAGAGGGCAAAAGAGTGTGGGAAGAATAGTCAGGAGATGGAAGCAGTCCTTCCTATCCAAACCAGCTTAACTTGGCATGGGTTAACTGAGGAGAGAAGGAGGGAACGGTGCAAACAGGCAGATTCACCCAGGAGAAGAGCATGGGGCAAAACAGGAAGCACAGCACTGCCCCAGAGGAGTGACAGATATTTGAGAGCAGCCTGAACCAGCTCCTTTCATCTCTGTGAGATGTCACCAAATTCTGCAAAGGCTGAGTACGAAAAGCAGTGGACTAGGTCAGGTTGTTCCAGATCAGGCTGGACCTTCAAGTCTTTTAGGCAGCAGATACACCATATGACATGTGTGGAAGGTGTTAAAGCAATCAGGGCAGAGGTGTTTATAAAGCCACATTGTTAAGCACAACAGAAGCCACAGCAGTTAAGCAATTCCTGACGAAAAGCCATTTTCAGCCTCCTTTCTTGCACCACAAGTTTCAGGCAGCATTTCAAACAACAGCCTTGAACGGGCACACACCCAAATGTAGCAAGCTCAGGACGAGTTGAGACCAGTGCCAGGTTTACATTACGTTTTTCTGTCTCACATGTTGAACGACCTGTCCACAACTCTGTCATTTGGTAAATTCCATCCACATCTCCTTCACTTTACTTATAAAAACCATCTCAGCTGTTTACCTCCTGTCATTCACCTTCACCCTGCCCTCCACAGCACTCCCCCACTTCAGCATGAAAAGCTGCCCCACCTTAAGGCTTCCTCCAAGCTTCCACACCCTGTCTGCCCTGGTAATCTCCTCACAGCAGAGTTATCCAGTGTTAATTACCACTGCCTGCATCTTGCAACCAGCCCTCATTTCAACTGCAAGAACCAGTCTATTGGCATCACCCTCCACCTCCAGTGCTTATTCCACCAGATCAGTCTGTCGGGTAGAGAGCTCTGATGAGTCAGTCCATATTTAAAGGAATATGTTCCATAATTCCATACCAAGATTAAAAACTGAACAGAGGGAAGAGGAAGAACCAAACAAGCTGCTCTGTACATTTGTCTCCACGAAACCAAAAACAGTTTTAAGAGAAAAGGTGATGAGAGGGAAGGACAGACTTTGAGCACCAGTTTGAAAAACTGGCTAAACATGATTTTGGTTGTGCAGCTGAGAGTACAAAGAGAGTGAAGAGACACGTTTTGCCAGCAGCAAAGCTGGATGAAAGCCAGCACAAGCTGCTGTGTTTTTTACTGATGAACCCCAAGGGACTGAAATGACAGCCCCCTCCGTGTTGCCTTAACTATACAAACAAAGCTATGGATCTTAGACAAATAAGAAGATTCTTCATTAAGCTCTTTCTATAGTTATGATGCACAAAACACTGAAATAAACCTCTGGATATTTGGATATTCGCATTTCCTTAATAAAAATAGCTCTCATTCTTGAGAAAGGCCACTGCATCTGTGCCTGGCAGGGTAATGAAATACTGAGAATTCAGGCACAGAATGAATCCATGCTGTCAGTGGCACCATTTATAAAACACCAAGGGACTCTAAGGGATTCTCTCTTTAAATCACCCCTGAGAAATAACAGAAAATTTGGCTGCTTCTTACTCATCAGACCTCCAGCAACTCCTAGTGAGTCTTCAAAATGTGATCCTTCCCTGCACAAAGTTCCTCTGTTTTGCTTCTTTTGGCCCTACTGACCCATCACAGGTGACAGCACCAGGCAGGACACAGAATTATTCTCAGAGCTAAATTAATTTCAGAATTAAAAGCATTTGCAATTTAACCAGGTCTGGGATGCCATGCTAAGGCACAATATAAAAATCCAGAAAACAGCTTAGCTTGTAGTCCATGCTTAAGCTACATGTGAATCTATTCCAAAGTAGAAAGATGAGTTATTAGATTTG